CTCCTCAGTCCAGATATGGTCACTTCCTGTTCACTGGTTGAGAAAAATACCAACATGGCGACTGCCGCTGCTCTGACCATCTTGCTACATTAACTTAAAAGTGAATGTCCGTTCTACTCTTATTTTTTTCTGGTCGAGAACATAACAGCGTAATCTTCAGCCCGTGTTTCTGTGTCTCGGCGGTATTTACCGGTGGGTGTGGTCTGACCCAGCAGAGTGTCAGAGGCCTGTACCGTGGTCACCATGGTGCCAGTGGCAGCGTCGGCGATAGTGGCCGGGTAGTAGGTGTACTGCGTCTCAGCGCCACCGCCGTCGCTCTCCAACCCGTCGGGCTGAGAGAACACAGCCTGACACCAAAGACAACGTTAACTCATTAACTCATTAACACATTAACTCATTAACATATCAGCTCATTAACACATCAACTCATTAACGCATTAACTAATTTACTTATTAACTCATTAACACATTAACTAATTAACACATTAACTCATTAACACTAACTCATTAACACATTAACTCATTTACTTATTAACTCATTAACTCATTAACACATCAACACATTAAGTCATTAACAAATTAACTCATTAACTCATTAACTCATTATCACATTAACTCATTAACACATTAACTCATTAACAAATTAACTCATTAACACATTAACTCATTAACTCATTATCACATTAACTCATTAACACATTAACTCATTAACTCATTAACACATTATTTTGGGAAAAAGAAATGAGAACTCAAATCTATCAGGATACTTTTTAAATCAACAGACTAGTGTGGATACAAAGACTGTAAGTAACCATCATACAATAGAACAATAACCAGATAAACTTCAGTGATAACAGAGAAAGTCATCTAAAGCTTAGTTTATACTGAAGCCGACATGAAGCCGCACGACACAAAATGACGTAATCACGGCGGCGTCTGGTCGTGCACCTCTGAATTTTTGTAACTTGGCGAGCGACCACCTGACAAATATTAATTATTTACACTAACACTATTTAGATGTTTAGGGATTATACAAAGATTATACAAAGATGGTCAGTTAGCTTTTAGATCCTTTAGAAACAGGAAGTGTTAAAAATCTACATGTGAGTAAATATTTATCAGACAAATCAAATAGTTTGCAGGATGTTGAACCACCAGAGGACGAACAAACAAAATGAACTGTGAAGAATGAAAAAGACAACGAGAGTAACTCAGGGACATAAACTAACCTCCACAATAGAGAGGAGGGATTATAATCATCTATAAACTCATATCTCATATTCATAAACTACTTTATTGTCTTCATATAAACCCTGTAAAGAAAGAAGTATTAAATGTGTTATAAAGAAACAAAGGTTGAACATCCTGTAAACTATTTGATTTGTCTGATACATACAGTATTTACTCACATGTAGATGTTTAACACTTCCTGTTTCTAAAGCTTCTAGAAGCTAATTGTCCATTAATGTAAAACCCTTGACACGAGTTACAGGAAATCTTCTCTCAGACCTCCATGAAGCCGGTTTCGAGTACGAACCAGAGCTTCCGGTGCTGCTCACCTGAGTGACGGTCTGACTGGTTGCTGGGAACCCGGTGACCAGGCTGACGGCCGCGTCCGTCTGTCCGTCCAGCTGTCCATCGGACACCTGGATCACTCGGTAGGTCACCTGGACGAGACGCATTCACAGATTATCGTGTTTACACAACACGGCAGAGCTCTCGGACCTGACTTCTACTGGTTTAGGTCTAAGTGGGTCACGAGTACTGAGACCGGGGGGGTAATGTGATACTGACACACTATCAAGATGTGAACCGCATGTTTGCTGTCAGAGCAGAAAACCTGTCATTCATGTTGTTTAGCAGTTTTAATCTACAACATGAACCCAGGATCTAAAGGTGAGTCTCTGTGTTTCCACCCGCAGACCTACACCACCGTACTTATGTTTAATATGTCAACAGCTACAACATCCATTCTCTGTTCTATTATAAAGGTGCAGGCTTCAAATAAACCCAGTTGGCCTTTGGCCTCTTCCTGCACTGAGATATTATTTATCTCTGTTGTGCTTGTTTATTTTATTTTATTGTTTAAATTGTGCAAAATAAATAAATAAACTAAACTAACAGCTCAGGTTGTCAAAGAATGTCGAACAAGATCTGAACGAACACCTCAGAGACTCTTTGCGTTGTGAAGTATTCACACCTCTTTGTGCGTTTTTCCTATTGTGTTGCATTACAGCCTGAAGTTTAAATGGATTTTATTCAGATTTTAGGAAACGAACTGACGCAAAAATGGTCAAAATTGATGAAATGAAAACATGAACAAACTCGTTTTTAGACTTTAATCAGATCCGCTGCAACCGATGACCTTCAGAGGACACATGTAGTTACAGACAGTTCACCCGTGTGTCGTCCAAGAGTCTCAATTTAATCCGTTATGACGAAATAGTACGAGAACGACTCCACAACAAACCTGCTAAGAGACCAAAGATAACCCTGAGTTCTGGTCCTGGTCTTGTCTGGGCCCTGAGTTCTGGTCCTGGTCTTGGCTGGTTCGTGAGTTCTGGTCCTGGTCTTGTCTGGTTCTTCCGCTACATGATTTGACTCTAATGAGTGCACACAGGTGGACTATATTTAACTGATTATGTGACTTTTGGAGGTAATTGGTACCACCAGATCGTATCGAGGGGCTTCAATACACACCAATGTTCACAAATCCAGATTAACTCTTCTTCCTACCTGTATGTTGTATAAGTACTTCTTCCTACCTGTATG